CTGAGGCTTCAGGAGGAGATCGACGAGGTTCTGTCGGCGGGGAGTGACGAGCACGGGGAGGGGGGTGTTGGATACGACGTGGTGCACGAGATGAAGTATCTGGACGCGGTGATGAGCGAGGCGATGAGGTATCATCCGATTCTGTTGTTCGTGGACAGGGTGTGCGGCGAGACGTTCGAATTGCCGCCCGCCCTGCCGGGCGCCCGACCTTTCAGACTCGAGAGGGGGATGAACATTTGGTTCCCCGTCAAGGCGATCCACCACGACCCCAAATATTTCGAGAATCCGGAGAGATTCGATCCGGAGAGATTTCTCAGGGATGGGAAGAGAATCGCCAGCTCGGGGGCGTACATGCCGTTCGGGATGGGGCCTAGGAAGTGCATAGGCAGTAGGTTCGCGTTGACGGAGATGAAAATACTGCTGTTCAACATCTTGGCCGTGTGCAGCTTCAAGGTCGGGAGCAAGACCACGGTCCCGTTGAAGTTCAAGGAGGGTGTGTTCAACCCGGTCGCTAAGAATGGATTCTGGTTGAAGATCGAGCCCAGGGAGAACTCTTCTTCAGGAGATGTTGCCTCTTCCAGTTGATGGAAAGTTGATCGATTTTTGGTGTAGGCTCGTTTTTTTAACGCTATTTAATAAGTTATTTCCAAGTTTTTGTTGCAATAGAGGGTGAGGGAGGCAAAAAGAAAAAAAAAAAATTTTAAAATCATTCACAAAAAAGAAGCGTATATATATTATACAACGAATGAAATAATAGTAACAAGTTTCTGAAATTTTGGTAATAAAATTTATAACGTTCGAGAAACGGTTAACAAGTTGATGATTAATCTTCTCGAGATTAATTAGTAATTACAATCGTAATTAGTAATTACTGATTACTTGGGGATATACCAAGATCTCGAAAGAATCAATTATTGTGGTTTTTTATTGTTTTTCGTACGTACAAATTTTTATACAATTCTTAAATAAATTGATTTTTCCTAAAGTTTTTTTTAAATCTTCTTTATTTTATATTCGAAATTATTTAAATATTTTAAAAGAATCTCCGTTTATTCACTTTTTCGATATAAAATAAAGACTTTTTACACAATTCTTATTAATCAATTATTTCTTAATTTAGAAAAGAAGAAATCTTTATTTTTCGTGTGCACACTTGTCAAGTATTCAATTCACAAACTGCAACCTGAAAACATCGAAAACATCTAAGACGAAAAAGATCGATACCTCACATTTTTCTCAAGGTTCCCAAATTTTTTTAGAAGAGAAAGGATCGAGGATCGTTGACGGATATAATGCAAATAGAAGAAGGAAAAAAGTATCACTGTATAAAGAGGATCGAGGAAGATTTAGATCAATTCGAAGGAGCAACCTTTCAATTACGATGGAGTTCACGTTGGAAATCCAACGTGCACGCAAATTCTAATTCGATTTGCACAGAGTAATTGATGTCCGTGGAAGGAACAACAATTCATCGCGAGGTTTACAGATATCGCCAACAATCCGCCCTCGAAAGGCCGGGTTAATAGGAGATGGTGGACGATAGAGAGATCTGACGTGCATATGGACAGGCTTAATAACAATCCCCCTCCTCCCTTCTCCCACCCTGCCGTGTTTGAATGGAACTAGCTACTTACCCTTCGTAGGAACTCAAAGGAATTAGAACGAGCGTCTTAGTTTGCAATTGCAGTTATACCGTTCTGTATTAATTATTATTATCATGGGCCAGTGTTGGGGAGGGGGGATATCCTCTATTGCTCAACTCGACATGCCATTTCTAATTGCGGAAATCGTCTAGATCCAGCCGGGGATCCGTAAACGTGTAACGAGGGATATCTAAAACGTTATCCAATCCAATTCCACGTGAGAATTCGCGTTGTTGGACACAATGGACGATCGATGGATTTTTCTTTATCTTTTTCTTTTTCCAATTAATTTCTTTTTTATTGAAATTTCAACGCGAATTCTTTTGAACGAATGAAACGAATTTTCGGAAAATGTCGATGATGTGACAGTAACGCGTTTATAGATTGCGATTTTTTTGTGTACAACAATAATGTGCGTAACAATGCGAATTTTTTGATGGTTTTTTTTTGGTTAGATGGAAATTTTTGTATCGATCAATCGTCTTGGATTAACGTTAATTTAATTTAGAAAAATAGATAGAAGGAAAGAATTTTTAAAATATCCTCTTTCTCTCTTCACTTTTCCCGTTTTCTTCTTCGAATCGAGGATAGTAATATTATATCGAGAAATTAGATTTTTATTAGCTACGACCTCTCGAAGGAGAAGGGGGTTGATAAACTATTGTAGGATAATCTGTTAATGCGTAACACTATTCGACTTTGATTAATCAAAATATACGTCGTATTTCGTCCGTTCTGCATCTCTTTTACTCCCCTTCGTTTCGTCTTGGATAGATAATTGGTTGTCAGAAGGTCCTCTATCGGTGAGGAGAACAAGAGAAAAATAAAGAGGGAGGGGGAGAGAGAGGGAGAGTGAGACTGGTCGGATGCCCCGAAGTAAATTGCGAAGGGGTGATTCTGTCCATTGCAATTCGCCTCCAATATATTATCTTATCCTCAGGCTTCATCCTGTTGGGCCGTCTACTTTCTTAAAATTACTTTTATCAACACTTTGTTTCGCCAATTACCCCAAGTTTTCATCTTTCTCCCATCGCGTTCTCCGTCCGCGTTGCCCTCCTGGAGGAACCATTTTGCCAATTATTGCCAACCACCTTATGGAAATGGACAGCGAAGTGGTGAAGTTAACACGATGATGCATCGTCCCTCCCTCGTGAATTGCATCTTTTTATCGTGATTTTTAAAAAAATCTGCGATATTTCAATAGACCTTGAATTATATTCCCTTTTCGTCCATTTTCTTTATAGAAGATTTCTTTTATATTCTTTTGCTTGTACGAATGATTCTTCTATTTTTAATTTCAACGTTCGTTTGCTTGACGTAGGAAATCTATATAAATTATATTATCCCAATATTCATTTTCTTACATTTCCTACGACAAGTTTTTTCAAAAACTTAACATTCATTCGTAAAGATAATATTACATATCTTCAAAAAAATGTATTTTTATCTCATATTAGATTTCAATCAATTCCAATCAAAATTGATCGAACAACTTCAAATTCTTGAATGTATTAAAGAACAAAAAGAAAAAAAAAAACACCCCAAAAGTACGTAAATTATCCTAATACGAATAATCGAACAAGACCCTTCAACTCGAAAAAATTGATCGAAGCGAAACAACGAGCAACACACACGATATAAGATTATTCCACACTCCCCCTCGAATGTTAACCGATACGTCATCTAGCGTCGAAACGATTAAAACGAAAACTACTACTACTACTAGTTGTACCGCGCTCACCGCTTCTTTTTCCACGCCTCACCCCCACCTCCTCCACGGCCTAGGGAGGTAACAGATTGGAATCTACGGTTGCCAAATTGATTGTTGGCGATCGATCAACCAAGTTCACGCGGGGGCAGATCGAGTGGCGAGATATTGGCCGTGGTGTGTGTATATATATATATATCGGGCGCG